TGGCACTATATATAGGTACTGTTATTAATTTAAAAGGATAAAATAAGTAAAAAGCTTTTATTTGATGTTTCCATTTCTGCTAATTCCAGCTAAGGCACTTACTGCCCGTATAAGTCGGCGTTTGGCTTTCAACAAGCGACTCAGGCGAGTGTTTGCAATAATGCAAATAATTACATCTACTTAATTAAAGGTAAACATATTCGTATGATAAATCATTATGTAAGCCGTAACAATTAAAGCACCTTTAATCCAAACTGATAAGCGCAATAAAACATGCTCATTTAGAATATATAGAGAATTGGCATAAAAAGTTTAATTAAAAATGAAATCATGCAATATCCATGCGCTCCAAATAAACGTATGCCGCACCATATAATACATCATATGAAACAAAAACGGAAAAAAAGCTTTGCAATGTTTTATTTATTTTATTCAATTAAAAACGTTCCATAACTGTATTACTTCGCGCAAGATAACCATCTATCCCATTTAGTATTGTGGCTGTGGAATACACTTTGTGCCGATATACAGAAGTGGATGTTTTTTATAACATGGAAAAGCAGCTTGAACCTTAATTAAACATGACAAAACTAATTTTGAAATCTCAAACAGGTGTATTCACGGTTTTATGGGAATCGATTCAGTCGGAGCTGCGCTTTGTTCATTATGAGAAGAATCGTGTCATTGAGAAACTATTGTATGAAATTGTTTGCGAGTAGTTGAATTTAATCAGTATGTCTTTAGTATCAGAAGTGCATAAAAGACAATGGATGGAAATTAGATTTTAAGGCAGAAGTGATTTTATCGTAATGGAAAGGTACAGAGAGACGAAGGATTTTGGAAAAAGCGTCCAAACAAATTTTTGGTTCTTTCTAACACAGTTGATTCAAAAAGTTTGACTCACATTGAAAAGATCGCATTTGCTCTAAATACTTTTTCGCAAGAACACTAAAAGAGCTGATTTACGTTGTAAAAAAATTTTTGGTCAGAGCAGAGATTGGCAATTTTTTCAATGTGTAAAACCGCTGTATCGGCCATTTGGTGGAAAATGTTAGATCAGACGTAATTAATCTCATAAACGTCTCAAAGTAGGGCATTTGCCTTTAGTACCGTTTCGGAGACTTGATTTTAAAAGAATCGAATTCCGAGTAGAACTTCGCAGGATCTTGAGCCTTCAAGTCTTACAAGCTTACTTACCTTAAAAAGAGTGGAAAATTTAGGATTAATCGTAACAGATTTTTCATAACTTGTTTGATTCAAAAACTGCATTTCAGCAGGTAAGTGCTAAGAAATTAAGAAAACAGAAACGAAATTTTCAAGTTTTAAGAACCTTCGAAGTCAAATATTCTCTATTAATTACGGCTCATCAGATATTTGCAACATGTAAAAAAGTAGAAGCTACAATTTTTCCAGACCCTCGAAAGTTAAACATTGCTTCACTCAGAAACAGATCACAAAACCACTTTTGTCCTTAGCACCTTTTCGCTAGAGTTTTAAGTGGAGGAATCTTTGGCGTTTAAAAATCCATGTCTGCGCAGAGCTGAACCCTTTTTTGAGCCTTTAAACCGTTAAAAACCATCCGCCAAACAATAGAAAACATAGAATCAGTTTTAAAAACCTTTCTGATAGCTGGTTCCAGAAGAGGCAACAGCTGAGTTTCATCAAAAAATCACAGGCTCTAAAGGTAAGACGCGCAAATTTCAAGTTTTGTGGGTTTTCGAAATCTGAAACACCTCATATCTATTCCAGAAATTGTTTAAAATATTTATTCGACGTAATAACCCCAATACAATGACTATCTTTTGTGCTTCAGGTCTCATCTGAAATAACCAACCACTGATAAAATAGACGCAAAAATTAATTTGATATACAAAATTACGAATAACATTTTTTGAAATTATAGGAATTGAAATCATACTAACGCAAAAAATTACTTACCTAATACTAAACCGTTAAACATATCGCAATAATTGTTGCAAACTTTTCAAAAGAATCTTTTTCTTATTAGGTTTTATAATAAATATACAAAGAAAATTTTTTTTCGGATAACTTGCTGAATCATGGCAAAACTAACTACATTGCAAAAAGTGTAGTCAATTTTAATTTCCTTATATTATTTTAATGTAGTAAAGTAGGGGACAGCACTAATATTAAAATGAAGTTGCAAGGTTTCCCAGATTCATATATAATGATTTTTCCGTATTTTTTGCCTCGTTTTTTCTTATTTCTCATAACATTTATTTGCTTTGTTTTAGGGGGGTTTCATTTATTTAGAAGACTCAGTACAACCTGATAAATCATTGGATTTTTCATCGTTACTTTCTGTTGGAATTTTCTTCTCGATCTTAACTTTAAAATTTTGAGTATCTTTAGCAATGTTTTCTCTAATTGCTGTCATTTTGAGGAAAATCAATAGGTTTCACCTATAAACTTGCTATATTTCCTTCCGAATTTTTCATGATTTTTCAAACTTTTTAGCGCAGTTAACCTAATCATATTTGAGCTTCGCAAAAAAAGTAGTAGAAATGAAAAAAAAAATCGATTTATTTAAGGCAAAGATTCAAAAAATGTTGATAAAAATCAAGGATTATGTTAAAGCATGTGACTGAATGGTCCAGCCCCAGCCATAAGTTCAGATGTTATTTGTGGTCGTGGCAAATGGAAAAGTAGCAGCTTCAGGCACATTTAGCTGTCCAGTACGCAAAACGGATAAAACCCGATATTTATTCAAGCATCTTCACGTTGCCGTGCAAAAAGAACACTTTTGTTCACTTATACCATGCTGAAAAGTTGATTTTATTGATCGTATTTACCATTTTAACCTTTATATGACTTGGAGCCAAATAAAACCCATTATTTATAGCCCGAGGTCTCACCTGTTCTATTGAATGGCGCAAGGTAGATAATCCGTGGGCATGCCAGTTATCTTATAAATTTTATAAACACACTTACACCTGAACGAGCTCCGCTTGCCACCAACAAAACGGGAAGTTCATTCATGATGACCGTAAATAAATAATCGGTTGTGAATGCTCGAAAATGGCCGGATAAATAAATCCTTTTTATCGACTCACTTTCTACTCATGTCTCCGACTGCCGACTTTTGCTTCGAAAGGGTGACACTCTTTTAGTTTAGGGGTGGAAACATGTGAAAGGTGTTTTTTAACCATGCAAATGGTCAAGATTGTGTCTGAGAAGGCCATTCAATGTTAAAGCTTTTGATCGTTTTTCTGTTCAAAACCATTAATTCCAAACAAAATGACACTAATTAAAAAAATGGTTGATTGATTATTCATGAAATTTAACGGTCACATTGTTATTGGGAATTTCAAGCAGTCGCCAAAAAAAGTCTGAGGGGTTTTGATCGGGACTTCGGGATGTCCATTTTAACAAATCCAGGCTTCAGATTGGAAAAATCAATAGTAACGAACTGTGCAAGTGCACTTTGGAAGCTCCGAAAACAACCTGGAAGTGTTGTGTGATCTTAGCGATCCTCCCTGGTATACGCGTCGCGACGACGCAGCGGAGCGTTGCGACGCCTGCTGTGTGCGATGCGCAATTGCATCGTCGTCCCCTTACCATCGAGAACACGAGTTGCTAAGCAACGCAATTGGAACTTTTTCCGCAATAATGATTGGTGGCATAGAACTTTGCAATGGCTGCCACCGTGCACTGTCCGCACTCTGCACTCGATAAACACTCACTTTATACGAGGGAAAGGCGGAGGCCTCTTTGATTTACTCGCCTTTTTGATTGCGATTATCGCACCCAGTGCTTTGACTTGGCTCTGAATCGCACAGGACCGGGCTTGACCCGTTCTATAAGGAAAAATATCGCTTAAGTGAATATGTAGCTATTGAGTTTCTTCTGAGGTACTCAATTGATCATACAGAGATCACAATATCGTGACGACCAAGTAAGCGCAGTTACTTTCCCGGAGGTTGTCACTTTACTCAAACGTTTTTTGTCGTTTGTTTTTATCACGTTCATTAAACATTTATTATCATTACTCTGTGTGATCAATTGAGTACCTCTGAAGAAACTCAATAGGTTATGGGCCCAGCACGCTTCCACTGCGCCACTCTGCTCCGCATCTACACTTGTATCGCCATGGAGAGTTGATTTTTTTCCACATTCCTTCAGGAGTGGAACAACTCATAAGATTGTAGTGTAGACTCTTGTGAATAGAACCGAGCAACATCATGAGTGCTTGATTTGAGCGTTATGCCCATTCTTTGAGCATTACTTCTTTGTCTTCTGCAGGCTTCGCTTCTGTGCCGTTTACGAATCCATATAGACCTTTCGCTTTTAGAACAATCACGATACCGAATTTTCAAATCGTGAAATTCTTACCGTCGAGCTTTGTAATATCGATAATGTCTCTAATATCTCTGTTATTGAGCGAGAATCTCTTGCACTAAACACAGAATTTAAGTATCACCGAACTTCACTAAACCAGCTTGGTCTATTAACAATATATTATCGGGCAGTAGAGGCGTGTTGGACCCATAACCTATTGAGTTTCTTCTGAGGTACCCAATTGATCACACAGAATAATGGTAATGAATGTTTATTGAACGTGATAATAACAAAAGACAAAAAACGTTAAAAAAGTGACAACCTCCGGGAAAGTAACTGCGTTTACTTGGTCATCACGATATTCTAACGTTTTTTGTCTTTTGTTATTATCACGTTCAATAAACATTTATTATCATTACTCTGTGTGATCAATTGAGTACCTCAGAAGAAACTCAATAGTAGCAAAACTACAATTTAAGTAAACTTTAACTGCCTTAAAGGCCCCCGCTTAGAATTACCTCAAAAGAATTAAAACATATGGAGTAATTGTTTAAAATTGATGAAACTGTCTGATCTTTTGAACGAGAATCTGAAATTGGCTTTATATCTGGTGTTAAATGTGGGAATATCTTCATTTGGAAGTTGAGAGATCCATGCCATTAATGTAGGTCAAATCTACATAACAAACTGATTTGTTTCAGATTGTATTGAACTCAATGCATCGGTACCAGCCCAGAATCCACCTAGTCAAATGCCAGGACAATTTTCGACCAATTTCTGATCTGGATCAGGAAAAGTGCCGAACGTTCGTGTTTCCTGAGACAGTGTTCACTGCAGTGACCGCCTACCAGAACCAATTGATCACTAAATTGAAGATCGATTCGAATCCCTTTGCGAAAGGTTTCCGAGACAGTTCTAGATTGACGGACTTCGACAGGTATGCTTTTGTCTACATGTAGCTTAGAAGCTTTTGGCAAAATTTACTTTGTTACTAACAATTGAAGCCGCTGCCACACTGGTGCGAAAAGCACAGGTATCAGGTCGATTGTTTTAAATTGAGAGCAACTCCACCAGGCAGCTTAAAAACGATTTGTTTCGGTCAGTTTGTCTCATCACTAACAATTAGCTCTAAAGACATCTGTGGCTCACACGGCGACCGACAAAAATGAAACGTTTATTATCTTGGACTATTTTCCCGGAAGAGTATACTTTAAGGGTGGAGAAGTTGACCTAACTGTCGGTTAACATTGTATCCTTTGTAAGCGTTCAGTTATTTATGTGTATAGATAATTCATATGGTTGAACATTTTTGAAAGAAACATATTACATTGTTTGGTTCGGGTTTTGATAGGTATTCATATGGCGTAAAGAGTATATTGAGAAGAAATTTGAAGAAATATGTTTAGATTCTGTCGAAAAGCCAAAAAACCTCACAGATACACGGAAGATTTGAAGTGTTTTCTTTCGGGACATATTCGAAAAAAGTGCTTCAAATGTATTATGCACTGTTTGCACTCTCTCAACACTAGCCATATGAGGGAAGCTCCAAAATTCTTAAATAATCATAAAGGATTGGAAAAAACTCTACCAATTGCTATAAAGGTGATCCTTTTTATCAACAAGTCAATCTTATGGCTGGATCTTCAGAAGCTGTTGCACTCAGTGCAAGCGTCTCTAAAAATGATCTCAAATTCCTATCGACGGGGGTCTGGAAACCCGAAAATTATTAAAAGTTAAGATGTTGATTTTTTTCTGTACCTATCTAGAAAGTTTCCTTGGGTGCAGCTCTATTGTCAAATTTCAAAGTCGAAAATAAGAACTTTTGTGGTGGTTAAAGTGGAAAAATTTCGGAGAAAAGTCGGACTTGGTTAGAAGAAAAAATTGCTTTCGATAAAAATATCAGTAATAAACCTAATGAAGTTTCTAAATTTTTAACAAACTCTGTATTACTACCCCTAGTATCATTACTTATACCTATATCCTATTATTAGTATACTATATTAAGATACAAATAAAAGTATTATTAGGTATTTTATAAGAATTTAAGTTAAAAGAAACTATAAACCTTCAAAGTTTACATTAATTAATAATTAAGTCTTAAACATATTTAAATTTGCAATTTAATATTATAATTGAATATATAATTTTATGGTAAAAGAGAAAACCTCATAAATAAATTTAATTGCTTGTAAGCTGGTTAGATGTGAAGGTTTAAAAATTGTAATTTTTTGCTTCTAAAAAGTCTCCTTGGGCGGCATCTCATCGTTTGATCAATTTTTTAAAATTTGAATGTCGAAAATAAGTACGCTAGAGGCCGTCAAAGTGGAAAGTTTGAAAAATGGAAATTGTGTGAAATTTGAACTCCAACTTGAACAACCCCTACTTCTAGAAGACAGAGTTTAAAATGGACTGTTGCAACGTCAACCCCAGAAAAATGTATGTTGAACGTTTTTTTTAGACTTAGCCAGTTACGGCTTTTAGTCTTTAGTGCTGACCTATGAGTAATCCTAGGTGAGGAAGGCGATTATTTGCCTGTAAGTAGAGAGTGAGAAAAAAAATTTAAAAAAACTAAAAAATGCGAAAAAAAAAAAATAGATCCACTGAAAAAGAAAAGGTAAGTTTTGGGTAGTTTGGAAGAAACCAGGTCTGTGGTTTGGTCTTATTTATCTTTAATGTGTTTAAATTTTGTATTTCATTTGGCCGGGTTTTTGTTTAAGGTGGATGTTCCCAAGGGGGCTCTGCCATTAGACTATTGGGAAATTTGAATTGGAGTTTTGAGATTGTTCGGGAAAAAAATCTCTTAGATTAGGGGATTTGTGTGGTTGAAGATTTTGATTTTCAACTTCTTGTGTAGTTTCGAAATGAATTTCTGAATCGTTTCCATTTCGAGGTTTTTGTGGATTTGGATGTTTCGAATATACCAAGGAACGCGTGAAATTCGACGTAGGAGTGTGTTTTGGAATGTTTGGAGCTTTTTGATGTTTGTTTTGCATGTTTGGGTGATGACAAGTGCCCGGTAACAAACTTGTGCTCTGATCACTTGTTTGTAAATTAGAGTTTTGTTTTGTGAGTGTGCTTTTGCGATTAAGAAGAGGGTGTAGGTAGGCGGCAGTTTGAATTCCTGTTTTAATACTTTTGTTTATGTGTTGAGAGAAGTTTAGCTTAGTCTATTATTATGCCAAGATATTTGACTCCCTTTGTGTATTCGATTTGCGTGTTGTTCAGTGTTAGTTTTGGAGTGATTGTGTTGACTGTTTTTCTAGTTATTATCATGGCTTTAGTTTTTTCAGAGTTAATTTTGATTTTCCAGGTGTCCAGGTTGTGCATAGGTTGTAAAGCGTTGGGGAAAGCGGGGCGCCCTGTGGGACTCCTGCTTTTATGGATCGGGTGGAGGATTTTGTTTCGTTCAGAGTTACGAAAAACTTTCTCTCGTAGATAAAGTTTGCCACAAACTGAACGAAAGTTAGGGGTAGGTTGTGGATGTTTTGGAGTTTTCAAACCAAGCCCTCGTGCCGATGATTTGATGAGGATGTAGGGAATTCTCTGAGAGAGAAAGAGGCGTTTATTAAAGTTAGGATTTGGTTTAGGAGACTTTCTGGACGATGTTTTAGGATTTTGTTTGTAATTTGGTCTGGTCCGGGAGCTTTGCGGGTTTTGAGCCAGGATATTTGTGTTTTCAGTTCGGTCAGTGTTACGGGTGGAGTTTGGGGGCAGTCTGAGGGAATTTGTCTATGTTTGATTGCTCTGAGGTTGTTTTTAACTATAACTTTTTACCTCTTCCGAAGAAGAAGTTGCGCTGAGACGAGGCGTTAAAAATAGCCCTGCATTTCATACTTCTATTGGTTTAGAAATATCACGTGACAGTCAGCCGTTTTGTGAAGTTATGATAACCGCTCAATTTGTTTGTGACTTATTTACGCATTTTAATTATTAATTAAGTTTGTCAGATCAATTGAATCTGAATAAACATTTCCGGGTGAAACACAATATCATAAAGCCAAATTACTCTTATTCTGGAAATAAATTCAAATTGGTTTGTTTGGACTGTAACAATAATAATTGTTCGTTTAAAACTCATTTAAAGTTGAACAGGCAATACAAAATTTTCCTGTGGTACAAATACAAATACAAAATTACAGAGCATGCCCAAAGTAATAAAGTACATTTATTTAAATAGCAAACATGTCAAACGGTTAGACAAAGGTTTGCATGCTATTTTAAAACGTATACGCGATAAAATTGTGGATAGAATGATTAAGCATACCAAGGAAAAACAGAATTATCATAGACATGATTTTTAAAGGACATAAGATTGCTGTAGCTTCATCATTTCATTTGGGTTGTGAAGATATTGCAAATTGGACAATATTTAGTGATGCTAGCCACTACACTGTTACACATAAAAACCGCATGTATTCAATAAGTGCTGAATGTTAGATTGTGAGTTTTGCAAAATTTGTGTTCACCAATACAGTTGCAGTTGTCAAGACCATTTTATAAATTATGTAATATGCAAACACATTCATTATGTTGCATTAAGAAACAATAATATTATTAAATCGCATCCTCAAACGTTATCTATATGAAAATGAGCATAATGCGATTGATAATTGCTTTAGATTCTTTAGATTCATAATCGAATGTGTAACAAAAACGAAAGGTTAAAAAAGAAAATAGCAGATTTAGCAGTTCTTGTAAATATCCCTGATCTATCAGACGAACGAAATAATTCGAAATCGAGAACGTTTCAATATTATTAAACACACGAAAGACCCTGTTTGTTTCATCTGAACTCGACTTTTTAAATAAGCCGCTTTGTCATCTGGACCAATAAGAACACAGAAGCGACCTGATCATTCTTAACCAATAAGATGATGTGGCAGTTTTTAACGCCTCGTGTGCTGAGCCCTCCGGGCACGATGCTAATAAACCAAAATATTTAACCGTAAAATACCTGGGCACAACTTTAAGAAGACAAACTATTCTGGATAGGAAAATATTTTGAAGGCCCAATTTTAGTTTAGTTTAGTAGCCCAAGTTAGTAGTTAGTTAGTACTAGTAAGCCAAGTTTGTTTAGGCCCAACAGTGCAAACAAATTATTCGACTCATTTCCTCCTAAACGGCAAACGCAACTCATTCAGCGGTTCGAACGCATGCTAATTGATCGATTTTCCCCTAATAGTCAAAGTCAATTCGGATTGAACTAATGGCCGATGGCGAATGATGGATGTAAGATGACCGCCACTGATTTAAGGTGATAATAAGCGATGATCCTCCGCCCAGCCAACCACCTAGATGTTCGGTGAAGTAATTAAAGGCGATCTTAGACAGAAAATAAGTGGGAAAACACTACCTGAGGTGTGAGAAAATGCAGGTTTCATTATATCATCAAAGCGGCTTTCGTGAAGACAACGATTGTCTCAAATTACAGGGCGGCGTATTGAGGTACGCCTTCGAGCAGCGAACATTCAAAACAGGTAAATTAAATTCCATCATAACCGAAATGAGCCGAGCTTTTTATTCGGCAGGCGTTCACGGTCGGTTAAAAGCGGCAAAAACAATTTTGCCAATAATTGAGGAAAAGCAAAAACGGAACACAACGATACGGTTTTAAATGTTGAATATTAGCTACCAATAGCTTCCAACCTCCAAACAGGGCTGGTTTTAGTGCTTGATGTGGACTTTTGCTGGTAACTGGAACCTGTTCTAGTGGCGTCTGTTTTGCGTAGCAGAAATTTAAAAAAATGCTTGGAATCAAACTGTTCCTCGTCCATACCTGCGTGGCCCACATTATTATTAGCGACTAACTACGTAAATTAAAAAACCGCTTTTAAATTATTTCTCATTTTGCTAATGGCTATTCGTCTGATATTCCACACGGTGATGGCAATGAACAGGCAGGTTTAATGACTGCAAAACTGTTTGTTCAAGGAAAATCCAACTACAGGAGCGAATACAGGATACGAAATATTTTCAACTTATTACAATTTTTTTGAACAGTGAACAATGAAGCTTTTTATTAACAAAGTCGGCTATCGGATGATCCTGATGTGAATAAATACCAATTTCGACAAGTGAGAGATCGGTTTTGAGCCTATTAGCTCTATAGACTTGCTTCATTGAGTGTGTTTGACCCAAAATAAAACCAAGCAGGAAAGCTGAATAAATGAGTGTGTTCCACTGCTTGAAAACAATGCCAAATATTCTCTCCATTAGCACACGAAAAGCCATTAATCGAAATTAGCCTGCATCTACCAGCAATTTCCTTTCTTGTAATTAAGCAAATGTAAGCGGTTTATCAGGCATCTTTAAGAACGGGAGAAAAAAGGACCACCCCGGTCTCAGACAAAGCACGAACTAATCAATTGTTTAATTAGCGATTTCATAATTGTCAACAAATTTAATTATGGTTTTGTTGGCTGCAGCTCGTTCTCTTGCAGGAAATATTGTGAGCTAATATAATTGATTTACGGTCAATGGAAAATGTTCGTTGTAATTGCGGATGGTAAATTTGCTATTTTTGCTCATAAAATGCGTAATATTCTGCGGAAAATGCTGCAGGTCTTAATTAATTGGTGTTTTATTACATTGCAGGGGTTTAATTAATGGACCAAGAATAATCATCGGTGCAAATATTGCCGAAATATTCACCTTCTGGGTGGTATCTCCGTAACGCATTTCCCGTCGTAAAATGTTTATTGTTCCAGGCACTAATTTTTATGTTTTCCCTTAATTCCATTCCATTTTCTACATGATTTTCCATACAACTTCTTCAAATTCAACTGCATTAGGATCGACGCTAGGTGGTCACTTTTTCAAACTGAGGCGTTTTCAAGTCGAAGTTGTCCACGTTTAAATGTAGTGCGTTTCTGCCCTGTAATTAAGTTGGCGGTTCCGACAGCAGAAAGAAAACAAATCGCTTTCGAATTGCTATGTAATTTGTAATGAACTATGGTTAATTTAATTTTTTTTTCGCTTTCGGTTCCTAAGTGTAGACGGAAATTAATTGAGGAACCATGTCAGTCGAGCTGAACCAAATTGAGTTAATTTTTCAACACAAAGCCTGATCATTAACAGCCGATTTAAATAGCGTTTAGCGCTATCAATTATTCTGTTTTATTAATAAATTGTTTTGAGTAGTCAAATATTCTAGTTGGTTTCAGTTAGGTTACAGGAATCGGAAAAAAGAGTTATTTTTTCGATTCAGTTGACTTTGCTTATTAGTCGCTGCATGTAGGGTGATTCGATGCTGTCCTGAAACTGTCTGCAACTTTAACTGTTTGTTTGTTTTAAAATACAAAGTTTTATCGCACTTTCAAATCAGAAATTTTTCGCACAAGCGATGGGCTGCCATCCAAGGACTGTTTAGTTGGAAATAATTACAAATTTCTAAGCCTTTGCCTCTAACTGGTTCTTACATGTCGTTGTTCTACACAATGGAGGTATGGAACAACAAGCTTGAACATGCAGATGAATACCGTTTTCGCCATTACCAGTGTCGCACAACTTTATAATCGCCATCTTCTGGAGTTAACGTTGCAACATTCGTTCCTAAACGTTCTTTTAGCTAACATTTGTGCCTGCCTGGAGGTCTCGGAACAACTTCATGACCTCCCCCTTTTTGAGTTGACATTGCACGAATACTGCAAGACAATAATTCACGGTTACTTCAATAGGTTTGATTGACTCGTACTTGGACAGCCACTATCGAAAACCAATCTTCTTTGTAAAGTTGTCCAGATCGTGACTATTTCACGCCCAAACAGTACAAGTAAACAATACGCAATCAATTTTTAGTGCTGGAGAAAATATGAAGAAATCAACCATCTTTATCGTGTGAAAAGTTGGTAGCCATCATCATCTTTGGACACGCCAATCCGACTTTAATTCGCATTGAGACTTAATTACCGGCGAATGACGCGACAGCGGTGGACTTATTGATGGTTATTGACATTGAACAGTAGCTGCGTATATATTTATTGGTAGATAAGTACCCAAAAAGGATATTGAAAGAAGACCATGCAAAATTTGGCCTTCGATTTAGCTGTAAATAAAATTTGTCATTGGCAGAGCTTAAGCTAATCCTACACTTTCTTTCCAGGGAACCCATCGAGAGCATTCTAATGGACCAACACTTGCTCCACTCGTCCTTTCGACTCTACGCGAAAGACAGCATGGATATTGACAGGAATAACAGCGGCTTCTTCTCGGCATTGGAAAAAGCTCGCGCTCAATACCAAAGTTGGAATCGACCTATTGCGATTTCCGCGTACAATCCGACCGAACTGAACGCTTTCCTCATGAGCACCTCGAATCAGCAGATGCTACTGGGACAACGATCTCCCAGTCATTTGGGACTCACAAATCACTTCTTCAACCCCATTGCTGGTTCGTGGGTCAGTTCCGGGCATCCAGCCCTTCCTCCAAACCTGATGGCCTGTAGGCCGCATTCAGAAACCAGGCCGGATTTCACTCCACCTCCCTCGTCAACTCCCGGTTCCTCTGGCTCGGACAGTCCAACGTTAACAACCTGTTCGACGGAACGGCGATTGCCCAAGCCTCCATTTCCCTGGATTCAGGATCCTAGATTTAGAAAGGACTAAGTCAGTTTGTCCCAAAGGAAGAGAACAGGGGTAGCAGATTGGGGGAAGGAGTGGAGCGTTGTAAGTGGGTGTGCGGGTCACGCAGCGGGAGGCATCCAATTGACTAGGACTAGAACAATGGAGGCTACGAGGATCGAATAGAAGTGTTGGAAGACCTCAAGCATGATGGTGAGATGACATCAGACCATGCGGGAAGGAGGAGGATGCAGGCGTCCTAGCAGAAGTCGGTGTGCAAATTAATGGAAGGCAACAGGCTAACAAGAAGATCAGCTCGCTAGAAGCACTTAGCTTCAGGAGCTAAGGACCACGTTTCAGTACATGGACGGATCACAGCAAGAACCACGTACGCTTTTGAGCTGACTATCAAGGTCCAAGGTTGCTGAACTGGTTATCAAACATTTACGAACTAGAGTCGCAAGTCATACTTACAATAAATCCATATGAAACTTATGTAGAAACTACTGAAGTTACCCGCAAAGTTTGAATATTTGACATTAGAAGGCAAGTGACAACTGACGTTTGCCATCATGTTGGAACGTTTGACATGCAAAATCATCTGGAAACTTCCGACGTTTTCCTGCAAGGATTTGCCATGACCTGTAGTATCACGGATTGATAAGTGCAAAACTTAGGTATGCTCAGGGGCTGAGTTAAAAACAGTTACATTGATGTATCGACGTATCGTAACCTCCAAGTTATTCTGGATGGAATTAACGTGGTTTTGACGTGATATTTATAGACATAGCCCCCCTGGTTTCGCCACTAGTGATCAAAGTTCTGAGAGGAAATGGTTCATAAAGAAGAAAACGAAAGAAGAAGAAGAATGAACCTGAATACAACCGACCCGCCAAGGGCAGTAAGTTTTTTCCTGTTTCTAAATACTCGTTCCCTGACCGCTGAAAAAAGCCTTAATTTCGATATCCGGACTTAACATGTCCATTAAATGAATGCAAGCAACGTTTATCATTGTGGTCACGTTGCTACGATTGATTTTCAAGTCAAATGAATTCATCTAACGTTTGTCGTCATGTTGGAACATTTGATATTTCAAGTCAAATGAACACTACTGACGTTACCCGTCCAGTTAGACTGGAAATTTACAGTCGATGATTACAACTGACTTGAACTGACGTTTGTTTTCCTGTTGGGACTCAAGTGATAACGACTGACGTTTATCGTTCAGATAGAACATTTGCGATGTGAAGACATGTGAGGCCACTACTAATTTTTCGCGTGTCGGTAGAACCCGTTTCGTAATGTAAGTCAAGCTCTAGCCAAAGAAAAACGTGTGAATGTAATGATATTCTTGTACATAAAATGTAAATGTTATATTATTTATTGAATAAGACAGGTTTGAGTAAGAAAGTGTTGTAAGTACTATCATATAAGACAGACCAGTATTAATACGAATTGGTTTCAGTTGGGAAGTGAAAATGTGTTATGTTTTATTATTTTGGTTACAAAGAGACTCATTTATAGTTGTTCAAATGAAGCAAACTAAATTTGTTAAAGGTTTTTTTTTATTAAGACCTATGAAAATTATTAGTCAATAAAAATCCAAAAAGTGCAATATCAGGATTACTTATGAACATTCTTTTAGCATGCTTCTATGAAAAACCATGAAGATTTTGTGAACTAAAGTCCCTAAAGGTGTCATTTATCACGTCTGCCAACTTGAACAGTTAAATTATCGAATACAACCTTTGTATTGTGTGTGTGTGTCCTGATGATGGTGTGATTTCCGAAAGCGCCTGGTCTTTTGCCAATAAGGTGGTCGGTTGAAAAGAAAGCAGACCTAGTTCTCAACACCTAAGAGTATTTATGGGAAACCCTCGGATCCATAAACTTTATGTTCGAGAGTGGCACATTTTTAGCCAGTTCCAGGCCACTAGCCACTATCTGCAACCGATAAAGCAGGGGGGCATTCAAACCAAATCTAAAATGGAAGAAGAGGTCGAGTGCCCCTCATTTTTTTTTCTTGAAATTTTTTAATTTAGGAAATTTTATAAACTGTACGATCTTCGAGTTTTATAAGTTTCAAAATCCAACACAACCAATATGGTGCCTTCCTGTATATTAATATTAGGGGTCACCCTGTTTATTTTCGAGCCCTTTGTACTTAACTACACACTCAATACCAGGTAGTTTAATTACATTTTTTTCAGGTGTACACACCTACTCTCTCTCTTAATTAGATAATTCCAATCGTTCTTTTTCAAGTAAATTAAATAAATTGAATATGTAATCTTAGGTAGGATTTCCGGTAATATGTTGACTAATTATTTTTGTATTTAGTTTTAGAACGTTTCCCAAAATAAACTGCGGTTTTCCTGAATCACTATGGTTAACACCCGTCGCGAATTTATGTAATTAAATTTGCAAAATACTGATTAGGTATTTTTTGTTGAATATCTGTAATTGTTTTGAAACACCTATGGAATAGTTGTTGTTTTGCAAATGTGGAATGTAAATTAATTCAATAAATGAGAATTCATTCATTTGTATTTACGGTGTTATACATTGATTTTTTACCATATGGCTGATGGGACCAGCAAAAGAAATCACTGCATTGGAGGAAATATGGTAAGTAATATTTGGAAACTTCCAAGATATTTTTGCTCTTTTTCCTATGTTCAGTATTTCAGTAATTTTATTCAGTCTCTTAATTTTAAATTTTTTTGCAGTCGGCATTTAGATCGAAAGTCGAGGTCGGAAATATGTATCGTTTTTATTCCACCATCTTTCTCTAATATTTTTTTCAAATACTTTTTTGCCTGCATAGGTTTTCTTCGTTTTGTTTTTAAAATTTTGCGCATTATTTGCAATCTTTCGTTTTTATCTTACAGATATTTAAGGCACTAGTGTTTTACGGAAAGTTTGAATTTTCACCTGATTCAGTTTGCGCTCGAGGCTGAAAATGTAAATCTGCTTCGTCCTCTATTTCTTTATCTGCTTTTGTCTTCGACTGCTTCTACCACTACTAGAAAACACATTTCTTTCACATTTTTCATCGTTGCTGTTTTCTTCGTCTGGAACACTAATTATTAAGTGGAAACTTTTCTAGTTCAAACACTAGTTCTTACTCATTAAAAATTAGACAGATCGAAGAAACCCATAAATAAAGTCAATATTTAATTTTTTTCCTAAGCAATAAATTGTGAAATACAGTTACGATTAAAATATATGATCTTAATCTTTAAATTTATAGCACAATATTTTGTAATCGTATTTAAGGAATACAGGAGATTTTTGCATTTGTGAGTGAAACTAAATCTTCAAAAAATGTGGGGTTTTGAAAATTATTTTGTTGAGTGTTCTAATCACTTTTGATCGAATTCGGTGCCAAAAAACTGCATGTTTTGGTTTGTTGAAAAGATTTTGTTTGATACTTATCTCAAACATTTTCAATCACTTGCAGTGCGTTTTTGTTCAAAGAAATCTTAGAAAAGCTAACATGAAATTTAGTAAGCATAGGATACCAAATATAACAATAAATGCAAAAATATTGCAATTTTTGAAAAACTAATTTGCCTCCAAGTTATGTAGAAGATTTATAGACAAATTAAACGTTTTTTTATGTTGGCTTCTTCTAAATCAGTGCAGTCACTAAAGTAGAATGACTGGAAAAACGTTTCTGACATCGTTTAAATTTTCGTATTATTTTTAAGGCTTCAAATACAAATAAAAATTCTTCAATCGTAGTGAGGCAGATTATAGTAACCGAATTAAAAACACCGCAATAACTGTGAAGGAAATAATTAACAAAATAGAAGCGGAAACAAGTAAAAGTGCCTTAAAAATCAAAGGAAGAGCATCTTCTCTCCTTACAAATGGGTAGACCTTTAGAAATCTCTTGAATATTTTACCTTAGATGAAAGGTTTTTATGACATCTAACAAAGGTCAAGTTAAAAGCCCTGATCATTGATAGGATAAGCGAGAACGACGGAGTTTTTTGGGCGCCAACCCATAAATCTAACCAAAATATTTATTTGGAAATATAAAAGATTTTATTACCTGAAAAATATGTGTGAGAAACATGATAATGCGATTTGATATTTTACGGCTTCAAAAGTCCTCAGAAGCAATTAATTTAAAAATATCCACCATGTAGTTTTTAATAACGATGGTGTTAAATTTCCAAAACAATATTGTCGTTGTGGTTAGCAAATACAGCCATAAATTACCGTTATGATTTATATGTCTGCTCTTTAATTCCGAGGTGGGTCAAATAAAAGTATGACTTGTGTTTATGCGATACACTGCAGTGGATTTATTGTGATTATGACAGCAGTTGGTGTTATTTTAATTTTATTTTTCGTGGCTCTTAACTTACCTACCACACATGCTGAATTGCTCCATCCGGCAGTAGCCTGAAGTAAAAAACGCCCCGACTTCTTTCTGCCATATGAGCTGTAACAAATCCAAATTTAACCCCAAAAGGCTGGGAGTTAGGGGAGAACACTTCATCCGAAGGGTCTGTCCTGATTTATAGTAATAGCCGTTCCAGTTCACTTTAAATCCAGATTTAAATTAACAGCCAGTCGGTCGGCGTGAAAGGAGGCTGCTGATTTTAGAGGCGCAACTCCAATAGCCGGAACATTGAAATTGAGCATTGGGCCAAGCACCCTCGTCGTTCAATTTTTCTGATTAATATCTATGTTAATGTCCCGAACATTTTATTTGGAATTTGGAAGGAATCAAGGACTGTTTGTGCCGGGGTCTGGAACGCCTGGTTAAAAAGCTTCCAGGTTTGGGGAACTTTAAAGCTCCGAAGTTTTCTAAAGGAAGACATGGTCCAACGCATTAAACTGCTCAAAAGTTGATGTTTGAACCGCAATAAAAGCAAACTTTTCAATCCATTACGGTCCTGTAAATATTTGGAATTTTGACAAATCGTTGAGGGCCTGGTCCTTGCCGGCACCATTTGTTACAAAAGGCCTAAATGCTGAACCCTGCAAATACCTACGTGTGTGGCACAATATTGCGTGCAGAAAACGCATTGCTTATCTCTATTAAAGAAACTGTTTAAGGACTTATTGTTTGTATAAAATAATGAGGCAGGCGAGAGGCGAACACTGGTTTTTGTTGGAATCAACGGGGGGCAATGACGATTTTTATTTCGAATTGATTTAGGTGAGGTTCGTGTAGGCAAACTGCGATCGTTTATCGTCGTTCAAAAGCAGCTGCGAAAAAGACACAAGGTAAACAAACAAATAAACACCTTTCGATCCATCAAACGCTCCATTGTAAAAAAACCAGGGCTAATCCGAAATGTATGTCCTCTTTGGGTTGTTTATTAGTTAAATGCCCTTCGATATTAATTCTAAGGTTGTTAGAAGTTAAATGGTTGGTTTGGGCAAAGCTGCCGCAAGCAGAAGAAAAACAGAAGTTTCTGTGTGTGTGTCTATTGGATTTTAGAAACTTGTTTGAGTTTTTTGTGAAGCTTGGTAAAAAATATCACAAAAATTGTGAAAGCTCAAACTGCTTAAACACTTAATTTATTTTAAAACGTTTGGACAAATAGACACATTTCTACTTCTTTATTTGAAATTATCAGTCGCGAACCGAAATTTTAGTAGTTTTTGAAAAAAAATCTATTTTTTTGTTCGGAATTTGTTCTGGAATGTAATATTTCGCTCTGTATTGAGATTTTTATTAGAATAGAAGGAATGGATTTATTGAAACAAACAAACAGCGTAAATCAATGAAAGGTCAAAAAATAAATTTTACTCTGAAATGATCAATTCTATCGCGACTCGATTCCATTTTCGTTTTTTGCAAAAATCTCCATTGTATTAAAAAACACAATTTTTAAGGCGAAGAAAGTAGTATCTTTTCGTATAATTGTAAGCATCCATTTCTGTTCATAATTAATGTACCTATTACTATTGCAAAATATTTCTACAATTTTGTGATTTTACCGTTTGAACGTGATTCTGTTCAAAAAAAATTGTTTAAAGTTACCGCCGTCAACTGCTTTTAAACGCAAGTCAACCGAGATGCATGGGCATAAATTTTATTTTTTTTTAACAAGAGTGCACGTCCAGAAGCAGAATATCCCAGAATGTTCAAAAAATATACAGAACTTTGCGGGAATATCCTGGGAATATACATTGGTGAACATTCCTCACATGAATATTAGTGGAATATACATGTATGTATACTCATCAAAGTTCATAAAAGGTATATCCTCGGTATGTACATATATGTACATATTGTGTATATGTGCAGATGAATATGCCAGGTATGTCCATATTGTGTATATGTGCAGGTGAATATACCTAGTATTTTCAAAACAAATATTCCGGTAATATACATGAATGTAAATCCACGGTATATTCCAAATTGGTTGAAAATTAATTTTGCGTGCCGCAGCAGAAAAGTAAGTACAAGTTAATTCTTTTTTACTTCTAACATGAGTAAGTCACCATTATTTAATGCTTTTCTTTATTGAGAATTCACATTTCTCTGTCTAGGTCAATACTAATGATAGAAAAATACTTAGGTAAATAATGAAAAATGTTTTATTTTTTCATTATTTTAATTTTGCCGGTCTCTGATTCTGAGTTTGATTTTGGTTGATTTCTATTTTGCGATAAGCATGATTTCTTGGATTGAAGGAAAGCAACAAAAGTAAAATTAAAGTAATGTGTCAATGCAAATTACTATACCTAACTGTATTTCGACACAATAGAATAATCTGTGGATGAACGAAAATACTCGTCTATCAATGTAAAACTATTAACTGTATTTTGTTGTTGTGACCAATATTCAAATTTGTAATTGCTTATAGAATTTTTGTTAAGAGCATATTGCGAAACAGTTTAATTGGGATTAAAAATTGTTAATGATGGATCGAGAACAAAATGAAAGGTCAAAGGCCACAGAGCGGGAACATCTAAGGAATATAAAATAATTACTCTGCAGTTTTTTAGATAAATGTTTGTGTTTTAGCTCACAGTCATTCATGATTGCGACAACGGCAAAAATTCTGAAAATGTTAATTTTGATTTTTAGTCCGTAGTTGTAAGTTATATTTTAATTTATTTATTATCCATTTAATTAATTTGAGTTTAGTTGTAAGTAACTCTTGTTGTTAAAAAATTACAGCAGTAAACACTTGATTCAACAAGTAAATATTTAAATATGTTAATAAATTAATAAAATGAAATAAAGGATCGTTTTTCTTTCTTTACATATATGTATGTATATTCTCTGAACATATCATATACATTCACTGAACATACACATGTACATTCACTGAATATACCATGTACATTCCCAGAAAATTCACATGGATATTCACTGAAGATACCATGTACATTCCCAGAACATACACATGTATATTCCCTGAACATACCATGAACATTCAGTGTATTAACTCTAACAGATTCTTGGGACATACATAGAATGTTCATAATGGAACCCATGTATGTCCCATGAATATGGGTACATCAATATGGGTACATCACATGAACGTTCCAGGTATATTATGGGAATATC